ACGCTCAAAGGGGCCTATACCGGAATACTGCCACCTTTTCGGGACATCAGCGCCCCTCAGCGCGCTGATCCCGTGATCGCGAAATTCCTCCGGAAGCCTCAGAGCTTCTCGAATCGTTCAGCGGAACGTATCGTCATAGTTATTAGTGCGAAATTACCTGTACCGTTTGTGGTGGTACGCGTTTGAACACCGTTTAATAATCTGAATTAAATCTTGCGCGAATTATTTTTGCGGTCTATAAATTCTTATTTTCTGTCAATTTTCTTTTTGTTATTTCCTTTTTTTGTATATAGACATGTTTTAAGATATAAATTTATCTGTTCGTTACTTCGAGTTCAATCACCTGTTCTTCTCCTTAACAATAAAATATCTGGAAAATCGAAACCAGCTTATGCTTGGACGATCACCAAACAATGATTAAACATTATTATACAAAGCGTGCTACTCCCCTTACCAGCAGCGGATGGAGGTGCGTCATTTAATTCTCACAAATAGTGCCGTGCAGAGTGAAACAACAACTGGTAAAATAAGACAAAAATAGACTGATCTTAACACATCATTATTAACGGTAATTCTAATTGACTCAACCACAGTTCAGTTAAATCTGGATTTTTATGAAGAAAAGTTGTCACCATAAAAGAGAATTTAATTGTAATTGTAATCATTATTTATGAAAAGTCACGAAATCTTTAGGAACAAATTTATATTAACTGGGAAAAGAAAACTATCAGTTAGGTAAAAAATGGCATAGCCGTAGTTCTAGTGATAAAGCTTATTAAAATCGGAGAAAAACGCTTCCATGACCTTCTTTATAAGTTAGTTTCTAGCGTCGTAATAACATGCTTTTTTACAAATTTTTTATTATAAATATTCAGAGATATAATTTTGTAACCAAAAAGTAATTTTGCCTTTATGTTTTTCAGATTCTTTTTACTATTAAAATAGTGAAATTATGTATGATAATTTTGGTAAATACACATATTTGGCGTTTTTTTATTTTATAGTAAGTAATTTTAAAAATATTAATTATATATACTCACTTTATAGCTCGTAAATGCATTTCCACAGTATTCGCAAGAGTTTCGTAATACGTCATTTTACGTGACTTCAGTGAAGTAAAACTCTGACAAAAAATTCTTGATGTACTGTATTGATATAATGAATATTGAAATCGATATCTGTAATTATATAAGATACTAAAATGTATTTGTTTTATCATTTAAAGAAAAAATTTTTAAACAAAGTAACTAACGGACTCTCGTAATTAAAAATTAACAATTAAGGAAAAAAAGTGTTAATGAGAGTCAAACGCGTACTTGGTGTGTAAATAATTCAGACAATTTTAATAATACGATTCAGGACGTTTCGGCTCAGGTTTGAGTCATCTTCAATACAATTTATAAAAAACTAAAAAGCTCCTTCATCGGAGTCGCTCCATTATTTCAGAAGTTATGCAGTAGTAACAATTTCAAAAGGTGTATGAGATCTTTTAAATATCATCACTGTATTGTACATATGTCCTACATAGTGATGTGACTAGAACATTGTACATTATGATTAAGTGTATTCGTGAAGGAGAGTTAGAATGATCCTTTACGTCTCTCAGGGATAAGAGAAATTCTAGGAAATAAAAAATAAATCGTTAACTGACTTCATTACAGCCGTAGGATCGTAAATCTACGCTGTACATACAAAAAAGCTCGATTTTACTGAGCGCTGAAGTCCTACATCCAAAATTACGTATTTCTTTGAGAATATGAAAAATTGTTTGAAACCTTAAATTGCGATGAAGAATTTGTGTTTATTTCTTCAATATCATGGCCAAAAATCATGACCAGCTTTTCGTAATATGTTTGAAAATATAACTTTAATTGACGTTTTGGGTCGATTAAAGAGCATTTAGTAAAAAAATAATAATAGACAAAACTTTCTTATTTCTTCCGTCTAGAATACGAATCCGCAATAAAAAATGAAGTTTCGCAAGATTTAAAAAATTGATTTGGGCCTTATTGAGCCTAGAGTCCTAGATTATCAGAGAAGAGCAACCGGCTTATGGCAAAAGTACTAGAAAAGTAATAGTATCGCAAAAGTACTAGAAAATATTAAAAATGTACTAAAAATGGCGTCGAATGGCCAATCATAAGAATGATTTATTCGGCAGTCATTTATAACACCGATAAATCAATCTTATGATTGGCCATTTGCGAGTCCAATCAGGACTCATAACACCGGTCGCGCATCTCTGATAATCTAGGATTCTAATTAAGCCTAAAGCAGGAACTCCAAACTGATGGCAGTCCAAGCTAAACATTAGGGGGGGCAGGGGGGTTCTAAAAACTTCGCGCCGATTTGGTAGATGGGCTACTAGTGGTACTAACACATATGAAACTCATATGATTAATCTATATGTACGCTTACGTCGCTCACGCTCACATCCTAACCGCGTTAGTGGCCATATTTTACATCAGGTTTTCTCGCATAAAATTTTATTTTCTTTCTTTTAACGAAGCTTCGTTATATATGTATACTAAAAACTATTGATATTTAATAAGATTATTTAATAAGATATTTAATAAGATTCTTCGACTAACACGTCTCAAAAGAAAAAATGTTCAGTAGCAGGATGCATTTTTTGATTTAAAAAAAAAAGTTTCATTTTCCTAAAGAATTAAATCGTTGCATTCAATGGTTAAGTGCATGCGGAAATATTCATTTGTTACAATTATTATCTGCGAAACTTGGAGAAAGAGTAGTATGCAATGCTCATTTTGAAGAAAAATATTAATTATTAAATCGCTTATCTCGAGCAGCAATACCAACATTATATCTGCCAGGTATATTAAATTTCTATTTACTGTAATTATATATAATTATGATACATGATTATATAAAATAGAATTGAACATTTTAAATATATTTTTTATTATTATTACTTTCAGTTCCTATTGATGCTTCATATTACAAAATAATGAGAGAACATGAAATTCGACATTTATATCAATACCAGAGAATGAAAACGCAATAGCTGGTGTGTACACCCACGGTAATTGATTCTGCCCCTCGGAAATGTTCACAAACTCAGAAATGATGATTTTTCCACATTAATGCTCATAGTCTATGCACGATTTTGTTTCATTAATCGTGCATCGACTATGAGCATTAATGTGGAAAAGTGATTACTTCTGACTTTGTGAAAATTTCCGAGGGACAGATCGAATCGATTACCGTGGGTGTACATTCACACACACACACACACGCATGCACACACACGCACACACATACACACGCTCACAAAATACATTTTGTATTTTATTGGAATAATTATTTATCCTACCAAAACTCTTTTTTAAAAAAAGAAAAAGATTACGCCAAGTATATAAAAAAGTATCGTACGTTACATTCTTCCTAAACCAAAAATATTATTTTAACAAATAAAAATTATTCAA